GGCTAGTAACAGAGAGAAGACCCAGGAGGAACAGAAAATAGGCAGAAGAGGATAGGCTCACATACTGACGGCCAGTGAGGTGCCTACAGACACATGCAGGAGGCTGTATCGACTCATGGCTTGCTACAGTGAAAAGTGAGGACTTCAAATCAGTACAGATTTGGGTTTCAAAGCACAGTTCTGTCAGCAACTACTAGCTATATGGCTCTAGGATAGTTATTTGACCTCTTCGAACCTCTTAGCTTCTGGATCATATAGTAAAATGAGCTCTTAAGAAAAATAAGAAAAATGCCATAGGCATATGACATGAAAGTGGGGGGGGTATTATTTGTGGGGCAAGAAGGGTGTTAGCAAGGGGAAGAGGAAAGAGTGAAGTAGTGGAGGGAAGGCAAATGCAAGCAAGGTACCATGATATATGTTTGTTTAAAAAGGTACCTGCCTACAGTGCCTAGCAAAGTGCTTCTTGGCTCATGGTAGAAGTCGGATGCCTGGTGCTTCTTGCTCTTCTTTTCCACTCTTACCCTTCACTGGAAGAATAATTTTCTAGAATTACAGCTTTAAGTTATTCTCTTCCTGACCCTCTCTACTGAAGAAGACCTGTGTATGGAGGACCTGCCTAGCCCAGGCCCCTTTCTTTAAACCTGCCACCATCACCTCTATTGCTGTCATGTTTTACCCATGACACAGCCCTTCCTGAAGAGCTGATGTTTGAGGGGTGGAGTCTAGCCACAGGGAAGCAAGCCATTGGCCACTGGTTATCATGTCATCTCAAGCTGGAAGCTAAGGACCCAGTTTGTAGAGAGAAGCAGTGGCTGGAGACCAGATCACAGGCCACCAGAGTTCCTGGGAACAGCTGCTACCCACATTCTCACATCAGAGGTCAGCCATGCTGCCCGAACACCCTTCCTGTGGATTCCTCTGAAGAGTCTCCTCATGTGGGCTAATTCAAGGGAGTTCCACTCACTACAGTGTGGCCTTACCCTCTCTGTCCTGTCACCCCACCCAGTCTCCTGGCTCCACAGAATGACCTTTGCTCCTCAGACATGCTTTGCTTTGGTCTAGTCTTCCTGATGCTCTTTTGCTTAAAGGCTCATGCCTCTTCCAAGACCTGACTGGAACATCTAGCAATGATTGCCTTCTAAGGGCATCCTGAACCTGGCTGCTGGTGAACCAGTGGCATTCACCACACCACCCCCTGCTGTGGACACTCGTCTATGTCCTAGAGTTTTTCTTCTGGCCTCCAAGTTTGCTGAGGGTAGGAACTTGGCACACTTAGGGGCTCAGGTATTACACTGACTTTAATCCAAGAACTGGAATCCTAAAATGCAGTCTGAGTCTCTTCAATAGAGAGTATTATGCCAGTAGAAGACATTTTTGCTAAAATGGAAATTCATTTAGAGACTGCTTCACATTAAAGGGATGAAGATCAAAGGGCACATTTTTGGCCAAGAGTTCTGAGTCTCAGAGATGCAAATAAATTATAGATTTTTTTATTTCCTGAATTGATTGGAACCATAACACTGGATTTGGTACTGTAACATAAAATTTTCTGTCACTCATTATTGTGTTAGGATTACTATTGTCTCCAATTAAAGCACTGAAGTGGGCAAATACATCTGGAAGGCCTGATGCAGGAGAGACTTGCACATGGATGGGGAGGCTGTAGAGCCTTTCCCTTAACTGAGCTTAGAGGTAGGTACCCCTGGCTTCAGGCTTATCAGGAGTGTGTATGTGTGCGTGTATGCGTTCATGTGTGTGTGTGTGTGTGTGTGTGTGTGTGTGTGTGTATTACATGTGGGCACATGTCCACTCAAGTGCAAGATCCTATGACCTAAGGTCAAGAATAGAAAGCAGTTACTCAGGCAGATAGTGCCTGAAACAGCTGCATTTTCTAAACTTTAAGAATTTCTGATGCCAATCTCCACTGCAGATGTGGGCCTGGCAGCTGGTTTGGAGCCCTGAGCCTAGGATTCAGCCAGCTCCAGACACCCTCAATTTGGTGACTACTTAGTACCCAAATGCCCCAGGTCCCCCCTGCTCCCATACCTTCCTCTCCTTCAGCAACCTGTGCTTGGGGTCACAGGTCATAGATAAATCAAGCTCTTGCTCTCAGTCCAGAGAAGGAAAGGCTCCCAGTGACTGAAGCAAAGCCCACTTTACCACACTGATCCTTAACCCTTCCCAAGGTTTCTGAACAGGGTGCAAGCAGGCTAACCGAAAATTGCAGATCCTAGTCCTCCCTGGGCATGACCTAAGAGAATCCTTTAAAAGACTGATCTAGCCCTTCCCAGACCTTATGGAATCGGGCTTTCTTGGATAGGAGACCAGGAATTTGTCCCTGAACATGAATCAGTCTGTTCTGGCTGCTGTAATAGAAATACCATAGACTGAGTGGCTTATAAACAACAGAATTTGGGGCTGGAGAGATGTCTCAGTGGTTAAGAGCACCATGTGCTCTTGCTGTCTTCTTGCTGGGTCCTCACATGGCAGAGGGGATCAGGGAGACCTCAGCAGCCCATTGTAGAAGCCCCATGATGAGGGCACTGCAGTCATGACCTAGTAACCTTCCAAGGCCTACACCTCCTAATGTCATCACACTGGGGGTTAGGAGTTCAGTATACGCAGTTAGGGACACAAACATCACTGTGCTTGCCCTTTTGTCCTCTCACCTTCCTCCTACTGAAAACTTGAGGCAGCACAACAATCCCATGACACACAGCTTTGGCCTATGTCCCACTTGCCCAGCCTCAGTGACTCAACCTGCATGGTTCTTGCTCTCAACCTTATTCTGGGGAAACCATGGCAACTGTCTCACAGTCTCCTCTTGCTGATGACCAGAGCAGTACCCCAAGGCACTGCTGCAGATGCCCCTGTAGGAAGGGCAAAGGGCCATCTCGGCCATGGACCTTCAGCTTTTAGAGAAGCTGACTGTGCTGGATGGCTCTAGTGTCAACTTGACACACCTGGGTTGAGGGAGCCTCAACTGGGGAATTTCCTTCATTGGACTGGCCTGTGGCCATGTCCATGGGGCACCTTCTTGATTGTTGAGTGATGTGGGAGGGCCCAGCCCACTGTGGGCAGTGCCACCCCTGGACAGGTGGGCCTGTGTTGCATAAGAAAGCAGGCTGAGCAGGGGCCAGGGGATCAAGTCAATAAGCAGCGCTCCTCCATGGCCTGTGCTCCAGCTCCTGCCTCCAGGTTCCTGCCCTGAGTTCCTACCTTGGCTCCCTGATGAACTGTGTGCCAGTAAGCAGAGTTCCTCCATAGCCTGTGCTCCAGCCTCTGCCTCCAGGTTTCTGCCCTGTGTTCCTACACTGGGCTCCCTGATGAACTGTGACCCAGGAGTTGTAAGATGAAATAAACCCGTTCCTCCCCAAGTTGGTAGTAGTCAGAGTGTTTTGTCACAGCAATGGAGAAACAAACTAAGACACTGACTGAACCAGGCCGTACCAGGCAGGCTTGTCATGACTGAACTCCTGAGCAAGCAGGTTCCTGGAATGACAGGTTTGGTGGCCTGTGATAAGGCTCCTGGGAATGGCTGTAACAGACTCGGGGAGCAGCTGACTCCCACTGCACCACGTGGTCCCAGTTCTAGCCCTTCTGCTACATCTGAGACTGCAAAGAGCTTCCAGCTGGGCCCGAACCCAGTACTTCAAGAATGCACTGCTTTGCTAATTGATAAGCCTGGCCTCCAGGAGAGTCCCAGCTCACAGACATACAGGGTGCAGGGACTGATGCTCAGGGAAAGCTTCTGGTTTTACAGGTGAAACCTCAGAGCTACATGGGCATTTCCCATTGGCCCTTTTCCTGTCTCCACCTTTTCATAATGATGTCTCCTCATGGACTACCATCCAGTGTTCTGTGCCCGGGCTGACCACACTGCAGATGCCCTCCCCTGCTTCTCATATACTCTGGAGAAATACAGCTGCCCCACTCCTCACCTCATGGCCTCTAAGAGCTAGACATTCTCCTCAGGGGTTGGGTAAGATGCCCTCTCTGCACAGACACTCTAGCCATTGCCAAGGACCTGCACCAGGGGGCAAGGCACTCTAGGGATCATTTTTCTTTCTTAAAACCAAAACCACCTTCAAGCAGAGTGATCCTCTACCCACTGATCACAGGGTCCATCCTATCATATCTTCTGCCCTGGCGTAATTGGAGCATATTTGCCTGGGCCTGGCTGACTACTAACTGGGGCAATCATCAGTTAAATACAAATTCCTAGACTCTAATCCAAGGGGTAAGACCCAGAAATCTACATTTTAAGTACCCAAAATATTTCTTCTGGATAGCACAGCTTTCAATGGAACATGGAAACAGCAGACACTACAGATAAGTAAAACTTCCCTTTCCAACACCATCTCCTCTAAGGATAGCTTTCCCCTTAGCTGCTATTTTTACAATTCTTTTGAATTGGCACAAACAATGCTGCTTCTACCTACCTTGACCTTTCACCAAATGATGCATCTCAGAGATTTTGCCATATCTATGCATCTTCACCTTCTTGTTAAAAAGTAATGCTGAGTAGGATCCCATGGAGTAGAACCCTTGTCATTCTTCTAACCATTGATTTGTTGCTGGAGAGTTGACTGTCAGAATTACAACCAACTTTAATGAATTATGTACACATATTTTTTGAGACAGCGTCTCACTGTGCAGCCCAAGTGACCTCAAATTCTCAATCCTCCTGCCTCAGCCTCCCAAGTGCTAGGATTATAGATGCCCCCACACCTAACTCTACTTTGATATATATTTTCAGTTTTGTGCCTGAGGCTGAATTGTCTAATAAAACTGCTTAATTGATGTTTTTAAGTAAGCATTTTTCTGGAATCTTCATTTATGGGTGTGTGTGTATATGTGTGTGTACGTGTGTGTGTGTGTGTGTGTGTGTGTGTGTGTGTGTGCAGGGCAGAGATGAATGCCAGGTATCTTCTTCAGTCTCTCTCCACTTTATCTTTTTATAAATATAGTGTAATATGTTATATATATATATATATATATAGGAAAGTTTGAATGAAGTTTCCTCTATCACAAATGATGCAGTTGAGTTTCCCATATTTGGGGAAATCGCAGGGGTCAGCACACCTGGAGTACAACGGATAAGCCTCACCGGTGCTGTGAAAACCACCTTCATGATCATGGTATCCCTCCTACCAGGTAAGTCTCCACTTTATCTTTCATTTTATTTTTATTTTATGTATATGAATGTTTTGCCTGCATGTATGTAAGTGCACCATGGAAGCCAAACAAGGGCACCAGATCCCCTGGAACTGCGGTTATGAATCGTTGTTAGCTGCCATGCAGGTGTAGGAAACTGGACTCGGGTCCTCTGCAAGAGCTTCTGGTGCTCTTAACCACTGAGCCATCTCTCCAGCCCCTCTCTGCTTTATTCTTTGAGACAAGGTCTCTCATTGAACCTGGAGCTCACTGATTTGGCTAGACTGGCTGGCCAACAAGCCCCAGGGATCCTCCTGTCTCTGTCTCCAGCATTGGAATTACAGGAGCATATATAGCCAAGCTTAACTTTTTTATGTGGGTGCTAAGGATCAAACACAAGGTTGTCAAGCTTGTACAGCAAGCATTTTATTAAGTGAGCCATCTTCCCTGCTCCTTTT